GAACCTAAGCCACCGTTACATAAAGCTCTTTTAAAATTAAGGAAATTATTTCTTAAATATAACTATTATTATAATTAATATTATAGCTTTAATAAATAATCTTTTAAAAGCTTAAATAACGCTTAAAAAGAGCTTAAAAAATTAATAGCTTATAAATATATATATATTTATAAACTAATAATTTTCATTAAAATTTAAACGCACCCCGAGCAATTCACTAAGCTGGAGGGCAGTGCAGCATCCCTCTGCGGTTGCGTTCTCCACATGCATATTCTGCCCAATGCGAACCTCCTGGTTGGATCCTGAGCCCCAGGCTCCCAATCTCCAGGCTCATGTCCTGCTTATTCTTGTGACGAGCAGCCTTGATTGGGGGTGCCCATGTTTCAACTATTATGCTGCAATACCGCACATTTTGGTTTGTTTGTGGAATGCATTGCTCACTATTCGCTGCCGACATGATCGTCTTCATGCTGACATGGACTATGACGATGCTGCTTTATCATTTGTAAGGAGCTGGTCGATCAAGATACCCAAGCGAGAAAGGGATACACAAGATAAACACAGCCCTAAATAACATCTGTAGTTTCGAATACGAATTGATCATGGCCTGTATACTACCTATCTACCTAGGTAGGTAGTTTAAGTATGTGGACGTATTTCCTTGAAGCTGTAGCTTATTGCCCTTCGTGTTCGTGGAGCTTATTCCACTTGTAAAAATGGCGGCAAACGCTTTGCGCATCCCAATCCAACGCAATAACTGTACCTGAACAAAAAAAAAAACCATTCTTCACCACTCAGAAATTCCTTCAAAATTACGAACATCCCACTTTTCTCTCCCCGTTTGTAGCTTTTGCGAGGCCGAGCAATAGTGCCCAGGTGACTATGACGTTTCACAGCGTCAGAGGTCACGTGTAGATAAGATCAGTAGTTGCTGCCTGGGCGAGATGGATGGATGCGGCGCGACAGCTACCACCCCCCCCTTCCCTTTGGCTATTGGCATGGGAAAATCCGCTGCACCTCTAGGTGAAGCTCTTTGAGCTCTAGAGGGAACACGTCAAGATGTCAGGAAATGGGACTTACTCGTTCGACCCTTCACGGCTCACAAAAGCTGCCGCTGCAGAGTTCTCGTCGTCTGCCTCTGAAGAAGAGGATGACTACCGCATACCAGGCTTGACGGCTGATGACGACGATTTCGGCGATTTTAACCCGAGAAAGAAGCGACGACTTGGGAAGAACAACAAGGAGAAGGCGGCGCTCGGCATCTTTGGTTCTGATAGCGAGGAAGATGGCCCAGGGTCGAGATGGAAACGAAAGTCTCTGCGGAATAAAGGCATGACATTTGTTTCCACGGCCTCGAAAGAAAATAAGTCGGATGATGAAATGGAATCCGAGGAACACAGGCCCGTGTTGGGTCACCTGAAGAACAATGGCCAAGGTACCGACGGCGAAGGCCAGAGTGAGCACGATGAAGAGGAAGAAGACGACGAAGACGATAATGATCGTGACGATAGTACAAGGGCTGGTATTGGCTTGGGATTTGGTGAAGGACTAGACTCTACATTTCAACGAGCCGCACAGAGTCAAGTCCAAAGCGCTGACAAATCTCGCATTCCAAAAGTGAAGTCCAAGTTTAAAGGTGGCAGCGTACTTGGAATGGGGTTCGTACCATCGTCCACGAACGAGCCAGTGCTGAAGGAGACAGCTGTGGCTCAAGAACCACCCCAAAATAAACCACAACACAGCGCCTTCACGAGTAAAGGCAAGATCAATGCCAAGGGCTTCGGAGCGCGGATGATGGCTAAAATGGGTTATGTTGAGGGTAAAGGTCTTGGTAAAGAAGGACAAGGACGAAACATTATCATTGAGGCGAATCTGCGGCCACAGGGCATCGGTTTGGGAGCCGTCAAAGAAAAGTCTGAACACGAACGTCGGGAAGAAAAGCGGCAAGCAGAACTACGGGGCGAAACTGTGATTGACTCAGATGAAGAGGAAAAGAAGCGCAAGAAGGCGAAAAAGAAGGCTCTCGGTGGCCTAGGTGGCAGCGGCGCTAGTACTCCACGACGGCAGAAGACGAAATATTTGACAGCTGAGGAATTGAAGGCTTCAGCGCCGGGTTTACAAATTCCTGATGCATTCACGCCGATTTTGGATATGACTGGACCTGGGAACAAGATAATCACATCGACAAACGGCATCATGACACCGAATTCTGGAGTGTCTGAGTCAACCGAGCTGATAGAAGCAAGGAAATTGGTCAAACGAGCACAAGCGGACCTTCAGGCATTCTCTGAAGAGTGGAGAAATCTTGAAGAACGAAAGGCCTGGGTCAATGTCGAGTTGAATGAGAGAGAGCAAGAAATGGAAGATCTACGGTCCGACTTTGAGAAGCTTCAAACTTTCTCAAACATGGTTGCTGAGCAGCTCACCACGGATTCGAATTGGGACCAAGTCATCAGCTGTTTGCAGAAAGCAGCCGAAATTGGTGCCGTCAACGCTGACGCAGCAGATATTGCCGTAGCTGCTATTTATCCCTTTTTCAGAGATGCTGAATGGGATCCTCTTGTCGACCCATCCAAATTTACAGCTGATCTCAAGGGACTGTCGGCTTTGCTCATAAAACCAGAAAACGAGGGACAATCTGTTGATAAATGGCACTTGAACCGTATGCAACAGGAAGGGATCTATCGAAGACACCAGAAAGCCACAACGCCATATGAAAGCATGATGTACAAGAACTGGCTTCCGCGGGTTGTCGCCGCGGTACGCGAATGGGACCCGTTGACCCCGAGCCCCATGCTTGACGTGGTTGAGACCTGGAATGACCTACTGCCCCCTTTTGTACGAGCTCAGGTCATGGATCACGTAGCACGGAAGCTGGAAACAGCAGTCTCGGACTGGAACCCCAAGAAGAAGCGTCAAAGTCATCATCTTCCGCATACTTGGCTGTTCCCATGGCTACAGCATCTTCCCCCCTACCACCTGGATCCCAAGGGCACTGGCCTCGTGGCAGACGTCAAGAGGAAGTTCCGGCAACTCATTGATGTATGGGAGTTTGAGCGCGGAACAGTGCCCGGCTTGAAGCAATGGGAAGATGTTTTAGGCAGTCAGTGGCGACCGCTCATCATGTCCCATGTGCTACCATCGATGGGCCGATACCTGCGGACCAATTTTCGTGTGGACCCTGCGGACCAAGAGCTCTATCTGCCTATCCTCACGGGCGTGATGCGATGGAACCGCATGCTTGGTGACGCCATCATTGCCGAGGTGCTTGTACAAGACGTCTTACCTATGTGGTACGACAAATTGCAGGAGTGGTTGGCTCTTGGCGAGGCAGACCTTCAAGAAGTAGCCGAATGGTATAGTTGGTGGCGTGGTGTGTTGCTGAAGGACATGGTCAATGTTAAGACGGTCAGGGCTGAATTGGATAAAGGGATGCAAATCATGAATATCGTGTAAATACATACATGTATAGACTCAGTGGCTCGGACGAAAATAATATTCAACGTACGGAGTAGCGAGGGACAAAAACCAATTAGCATATTCCACCTTTTACATCCATGTTTGTACGACCACAAAGCACACAGTGTCCTACGGTCCAAGGAATCAAGATACACGCCTTACCTTTGAGATATGGCTACAACGCAACATTTGCACAGCTTACCCGATCCAAGTGTCTGAGGTAAGCTCAGCCTCGGCGTCTGACCAGGTGCTGACACTCGGGCTCCGAAGATTGTATGTGCGCTGAGAGGTGCGGGGAGTCGACGCAGGCAACGTGGCAGGCCGGGATTGAAGGCTGTTTGGGGTTGATGGACATGGGAGAAGATTTCCCCACGATTTATTGCGATGTGTATTTCTGGGGAAACGTCGTGCTGAGTGGTGTAATATGGACCTGGTAATGGAATGGGAGCACAGCCAGAATGAGTACAGGCGGAACTTGGCCTTGATGGCTTTTTTTAGGGAAAACAGAGAAAAAAAAACATCGAGGTATAATGGCTTTGCAGGGGACGAAAGAACCCGAACACTAGATGACAAACAGAAGAATCGGGACTGGACAGGACTGGACTTGGGAATAGCAGGTACTCTGGTTTTTTCCCACAGGTGATAGTTTTATCGCGATATTTTTCTTCCACATATCTCAAGCACGTGCGGTACACATACCTGTCTCACAAGGCACCCGCTCAAGTGCCTAGGTAGTAGATGGCATTTGACGGAACGACCAGATCACAGACTATCTCGGGACCCTACAAAATGGAACCTGGAACCTGTCGCAAGGCAAAGCTTGGCAAGGAACAAGCGCAACCCACCTCACGTAAGGGCAAGGCCAAAGTCGCATCCCAAAGCGACAATGTTGGGTGCCGAAGGGGAAATGGAACTGGGCTGGAAGAGCGGGTCGCAATATTAAGTCTGCGCGGGCTTTTGAGGTTTTTTTTCCCCTCGCGCCAGAACAATGGTATTCACACTCGGTACATTGGCTGCTGGAGGAGGAGGCCGAGTCATTTGGGGATGGATGCTCGATGTCTCGGACAAAAGTTGGGAGCTGGCGTGGCGTCCACCGAAATGAAAAAAAAAACGATGGACACCGGGGTTTGTAAAGTTTGAAGGGCCAAGGAGGTTGGTTGTACAGCGTATTACGGGGTCTGGAGATGTTGGATTAAATTGATAGCTATTGGGCCGGCCGGCCGTTCTGAAGCCGTGGCTGTGACACCAAGGCAAGACAAAGTCGAGGCGAAGAGTGGAACAGCAGTTTGCGATGCTCGTGGCAACGGCAATGGCAGCCTCGGGACCGAAGATGCAGGGATGAGGCAAGAGTGAGGATTAATGATTTGGCTGATGATCCCCGTAGAGTCTGGTGTTGAATGTTGGTCTCGTCGGTCCCTACTAACATTGGAGCAGCTTGACTAGAGGCAAAGACACCAGACCAGCACCAATACAAGTCAGAGAGAGCCCTGATGGTCGACGGGGCGGTCAACTGGATCATTTGGGCTGCCCGGATCACGAATCACGAATCACACACAAACCACCGACTTTGTCGACATTTGACTCCAGCGCAGCCATCGACTGCGCTGCCTCGACAACTCGAAAGCCCCCTGCTGTGCATACCCATCCAGCTTTGCAACGGCACGCATTGGATTCAATTTCCATCTCTGCGCATTTACTTATTTTGGGGGCCCCTCTCCCATTCTCCCACTCTCGCATTCTCTCATTGCCACTGTCGAATCTCGCACTTGCGTTGTCAAGTGAAACGCGGTCTTGCCTTGTTTCTCCTTTTGCTACCTGCTCAGCTTTCTTTGCTCCTCCACTTCCCTGCCCTGGTCCACCAGTCCATCCACCAGTCCGTCCAGAGTCCACGGTCCACTCAGCCCAAGTCTTCCCGCCAGTCCAACAGGCTCGAGGCTCCCGAGTATCTGCCTGCCTCAGCCAATACCCAACCGTTGCTCTGCACATGTCACGTTTTCCAAACGAGGCCTACGCTCTGCAGCGCAGTACATGATCCGGCTCATCGAGCCCATCGCCGTTCATTCCCTTCCTTTCTACCGCCGGTGCTGCGCCATCGAAACGTCGCCATGTTTTGGAGATTCGGCGGTTACGCCAACATCTCCACAATCGACACGATCCTCGACAAGCCCGACTTTACCCTCGAGGAGCTGCTCGACGAGAGTGATCTCATCCAGGAGCTCAAGCAGCACAACTCCAAGCTCATCGAATATCTCCGCGAGGACAGCATCCTTGAGAAGCTGCTGGAATATGTCGTCGCGCCCCGACTCGAGGTCTTCGCAACCCCCGATGACCCCGCTGACGATGAGTCCAAGGGCAAAAGTCGCCTGCTGCCCTTCTCGCGGCCCCGGGCTTCGTCTCGCGCAACCGACGTGACGGACAATGATGAGGAGGAGCAGGAAAAGAGGCGCAATAGATACGCCCTCGTTGCTTCTGAAGTCTTGAGCTCCGACACGTGGTCCATCTACGAGGCCCTGACCGAGAACCGAGACCTGATTCGCAAATTCTGGAAGTTCCTTGAGCGCCCGGCCCCCCTCGACCCGCTCCAGGCGAGCTATTTCACAAAGGTAAACGAGTCCCTGTTTGAGAAGAAAACAGACGACATGATGGAATTATTGCGGAGTATCCCAAATGTAGTCGCCGAGCTTCTCAGACATGTCGAATGTCCCATGATTATGGACTTGCTTCTCAAGATAATCGCCCTGGATCGGAATGAAGGAGGACAAGGAATTGTAGAGGTTCGTAAAAGCCCATGTTGCTCATCCTGAATTCCAAACCCCCTGCTGACCTGCGACGCTTGCCGTACAACAGTGGCTTTTCTCAAAAGACATCATTCCCGCGCTACTCTCTTGCCTCGACCCGAAGCACAGCTGGGTTGTGCAGACGGCCGCTGGCGACTTCATCAAGGCCATTATTACCATCTCTGCGAATGCCTCACAAAACGAACAGCAATGCATTGGCCCCAACGAACTCACACGCCAGTTGGTATCTGAACCTTGTGTCGAGCAGCTGATCGGCTATATGCTCGGAGGAGGCAACCCCCTCACAGTCGGTGTCGGAATAGTCATTGAGGTCATTAGAAAGAACAACTCGGATTATGACCCTGATATGGGCACCGAGTCCAATCAGGTTCCTTCTAGCCGCGACCCCATCTATCTTGGTTACCTGCTGCGTCTTTTTGCCCGGAATGTACCCAAGTTCATGAGCCTCATTATGGACGGGCCCGCAAAGAAAGAGGGATCCGAGTCCACTTTTGGGGAGAAGCTTGAGCCCCTTGGCTTTGACAGATTCAAGACGTGCGAACTGATGGCAGAACTGTTGCATTGCAGTAACATGGGGTTGCTCAACGAAGTCGGTGCTCAGGAATTGATCGCAACGCGAGATGCTGTGCGCCAGCGCCTCAGGGACGAAGGAAGGTTGGGACCTTTGAGGGAAGACGACCAGTCTGCTGATGATCTTACCATGCGCATGAGTCACGGCGCCGTCCATGAGGAAGGAAGGCGTCTGGAAGTCACAAACGCAGATGATGATGGCTTTGAGGAAGTTGAACCGAGCAAGGAAATGAGCGAGGATACATCCCACGAATTTGTCAAGGCCGAGGACGACATCACTGCTGCCCCGCCCTCGTCATTCATCGATAAGGACGAAGATGATTTTGTGGATGAGCCACTCAGCTCTCCCCGTCTCTCTGTTGGCAGTGACAAGATCAACGAACAACGTTTTGAAGACCCCGACCTCGTTGTGGCGCCACTGTCTCCTTCAAAATCAAAACCGGCCGAGTTGGCCGAATCTGCAAAGTTTGCCAATCCGGACAGCATCCAACGGACAGGGTTAGACTTGGCTACCAGGGAAATCGACGAGCATCTCACCTCTACCCAACAGCCTACCGAATCGTCCCTTTCTGCCAGCCCTCTTCCGGAACCGACGCCCTCTGGTGCCTCCTTGAACCCCAGCAACTTGGGAGATCAGCATCGTGGCCTTTCTCCTCACCCAGAAGATACTCCAGCACCGTTATTCACTTCATCAAGTGCTCCACAGTCGGTCGCTCCAGATCAGACTGCACAGAAGACGGAGACTGTTGTTCATCCCCCAGCCGATTCTCATCCTGCACATGGAGTTCAATCTTCAGAACAAATCGCTGTTGTGGATGATCCGTCTACTGCTCTTGGGCAGCAACAACCACCTCAACATATAAACATACCACTAGAACATGTTGTCGGAGACTTCCTCAAGATGCAGTTTGTAGAACACCGCGTTGTACCTGCAATTTTGGTACAGCATACCCTTGCACTCATCTACATTTACTTGTTTCTAGCTAAACTAACTTTGACTAGACCTTTTTCTTCTCATACCCCTGGAACAATTTTCTGCACAATGTTGTCTACGACATAGTGCAGCAAGTGTTCAACGGTCCCATGGATCGCGGATATAACCCTACCCTGGCGGTTTCTCTGTTTGAAGCAGCAGACATTACAGCAGCCATCATCAACGGTCAGCAAGCTAGCGACGAGTCGCAGGCAAAGACAAAAACCCGCATGGGATACATGGGCCACTTGACTCTCATTGCTGAGGAAGTGGTTAAGTTTACCGAGAGACACCCACCCGAATTGCTTTCCGAGATGGTCCTGGATAAAGTCATGAGTCAAGAGTGGATCAACTATGTTGAAGGTGCTCTTGCGGAAACGCGTGAGCGAGACAATGCTATTTTGGGCGGAGTCCGGCCTGAAGTTGCTCTTGGCCACCGTGCAAGCATAGGAGGCGGCAATGGTTTAGGTGGTGTTGGACTCTCTGGACTTGGAGGAGCCTCTGCAACTGGCTCGAACGCTTTGGCGGAGGCCGGCCTGAATGGCGGCATCGAAATTAACGAAGGCAGCAACAATGGCATTGGCCCCTTCGCAATTAGTGCCGGAACCTTGATGTCGGGCTTCGGAAGTAGCAGCGATGAAGAGGATGATGAGGGCGATGTGGAGGAGGAGGATGTTAACTCTGAGGTGAGTGGTGATTCTTTTGATGATCGAGGCACTGGCTCTCCAGAGGTGGCTGCGAATGCGAACACAGATTCTCCGGTCAATGTGATCTCGATGTCTCCGGAGCCTTTGGAAGCAATTTTGGGAGATTCCTCTGTGGACATTCGCCCGAGTCTTGGTTCACCTGTGAGATTTACTACGACTCGGGATTACTACGAAGACGAGATTATGGAAGACGGCTCGCAGCAAGATAGGTGGTCAGGAGACCATTACGACGAACACGGAACAGAACGGTCAATGTCATCATAGGATGTGGCGCTGGACTCCTGTCTAAGAAATCTGGCAAGCGCCAGCTTCCACAGCACGGCGGCCGATGCGGCGGGCGCTGACGAGCCAGGTCTGTCTCGTTTGGAAGAATTCGAAGATGATGATCTCAATGATCTGTTACGGTTACTTGCTGAAGCAGAGATTTGATTTTCATGATGTTATTGCAGCACGGCATTCTCATACGAAATAGTTAGGAGGGGCATTGCAGGGTTACAGTGAAATGGCGGATACGGATGCATTGAGATAAAATATCTGTACGATGGATGGAGGCAGTAGTGCTTAAAGTTGCATAATGAAGGGCAAAACACAAAAAGATCCAAGATACAGAGAGCCAGTGGCCAAGGAAAGACGAGCGCAGACTGGAGATGTGCTTGTCAGGGAATGACAGGGAGACAATGTCGTGATGGAGGTCTTGCAGTCACGGCCACCTCTACTCAGTGCAGCCTGCTTCGATTTGGTCTCTTGTTGTTCCGGACTATGGGACTCAGTTGCTGATCTCAACCCTCTTTTAGTTTCGGTCTTATACAGACCCTCTCAACAATACTGGTAACTCGTTGACTCCGCCATCAATCCCTCCGCCTCCACCGCCGCCTCCGCCGTTGAATGTTCCTCCGTCAAGAGCCAGGCTGCAGCTGGCAGCTCGGTTGGCAATGCATCAAAAGAACAACCAAGCGGCGCAGCCATCCTTTGCAACAATGCACCATGAAGGAGACGACTATGACAACAATACGATGGACCCCTTTAGAGACGATAATGATGACATGGACGACGATGATGACCTAGATGTAGACGTTGTTCGAGATGGTGGACGTGGATCCTGGTGGAGAGGCATGGTCGGAAGAAGAAGCAGTGCAGACGATGGCGACTCTGACGAGGCTGACGAGGATGATGATGAATTCGGTGACTTTGCCATGGCAGAAGATTACAGGAGTGGTGGGACTTCGAATACGGAACAGCTGGTACTGAGACCGCTAGCCGTCAATCCCGCCAAGGAAAGCAGCAGAGGTCTCAGCGGTCTGTGGCCGTTTGGGTCAAGAAACGAAAGCAACAAAGCCAAACGTGACGAAGAAAGTCACGACCTAAAAGACGAAGTCGTGGTATCTTCAGACGAGAAGAAGGGAGAGGATTATAGAGCCATTGAGGTCAGGGAGGCAACGAGTCGGACTAGCATTGAAGAACCGGATGAGGAAGAAATAGTAGCTGGGAAATGAATCTCTCTGTGGGGTTGAGGGTAGAAGAAGTGATGGTGGTTTCGATATCAAAGCGGACAGACGAGAGCTTGAACGGGAAGCGTTTGAAACGCATTTTACGGATGGTGAATGGGCATGATGGGAAATGGCGGCATTACGTGTAATTGTACGATGAGGGATTCTATTACTTTTGTGCTTTTTGATTTGGTTAGATTCACGGGACTATGTAAACTACCATATGCAATGGGAAATTTGCTTATGCTCTGTGACTGGTGTTGACTGTGCCGCCTTGGATGATGGACCAGTCCCCCCCACCCCGGTACATAAATCCATCATGTCGATGCATCCCGATGCGTTGAGTGGCTGACGGACCATGATTCTTTCTGGTTTTGTCCGACTGTAGAGGCAAGCACAGAAAACTAGTTTTTGCTCATATGACTTGTTCTAACTTGTGACTCACAGGGATACACAGTGTAGGGTGAGATTGATTTGGCTATCGAGGCACGCAGACATGAGCGACGGAGGCGAATGTTGCTGGCGTATCTCTGGTCACCGCTAGTCGCCGTTGCAAGAAGATGGGTTTTAATTTTATTTATTTATTTATTTATTGTTATTATTTTTTTTTTTTTTGGAAAACGAGATGCTCGGGCAAGCATGTGGTGGATGAGACACGGCATCGTGTGATGCGTGTGAGTGACAGGGCTCCGGCTCCAGGCGCAGCAGGCTGTTTATCCCACGTTATCGATTCTTCTCCTTGAGGACGGCTATGTTTCCTTGCAATAGTGCGAGGAATTTCCGCGATGCTTACAGACGAACGTCATACTGGGTGCGACTGGCCATGCGTCGCGACGTCGATACTCGCGTGGTTATCCTGGGGTTGACGCCGCTAGAAAGAAAAAAGGATGCTAATTTTGTCACATAGAAGGCGGCTAATAATTTAGCCCGCGTTGTGTCCCCCCCGGTTTAGCCCGCTTAGCTTAGCTCATCCTAACTGCATCAAGTGGTGGAATACAACTTCTTCTCCGAACCCAAGCTAGCCCTGGCCGTTCGTCTTCGCAGGCGACGGACCACGGCATCCAATCTTCGGGAGGGTAACTTCTGCGGCACGCAGACCGTCCACCAGGAGGGACCGCCACTGAGCGCTGCAGAGTGTAATGCCGTCGGCAGGGATCAGCGTGTTGACTGGCCTGCCTGACGCCCCAATTGGGCAAGCATTGAACTGCCCGGCCGATCTGTGGTTATTTTTGGGTGCAAGCTGGATGAGGCGCATCAGCTAAGGTAGTATGATGGCTGTGTTGAAGCAGACAACCCCCGGGTGATGGAGACGGGCCGTTTTCAAGTTTGGGACAGGACTGCGGCTTTGCTGTGCCTGCAGATACTCTATTGTAGGTACGGCTTTCTAACTTGCCCACAGCCGTCCCGGTCCAAATCGGGTGAAAGCTTCTTTCGACTCATTTGCATGTGTACGTATGTATGTACTTAGGTATGCATGCTGGGAAAGGCCAAGGGCCCCGGGCTGATGGATGCCAGTCGGGCTAAATTCGACGACGCATAATATCAACGGCCATAGTATAGCACTAAAACGCCCCAGGGCTGGTGTCCATTCTTACAGTGCCGCCTCTTGTTGTTGTACTTGGCACATGTCGAGCATGGTTTGGCTTTCGTCTCAAGTGATTAGAATAACAAAGTCTCGCAATAGCTTCTTGGTGCATGAATTTTCCCCCTGGGCTGCACGTACTACTGATGTGATGCCCAGACTTCTCCAATTTCAAACCACCCTCTTGAATTATAGTATGTACAGGTAGCAAGGTCGGCGCTTGCCGTCGTCAACTTTGACTGAACCCGTGGAGCAGCCATGACACATGTGAATCTTTGACCATAAACGTGGACGCATGGAAACTTTGGCCATCTAAGATTTCCCGAGTTTGAGCAGTGGCTACGTCAGCAGACCAAAGCTAGGGACTGCTGCGAAGACGCTGCAGAGCTAATATAACCAACGCACATTGTATTGACACGATGCCGGCCGAATTAGCTACCTAGGTATTCTAGAACGCTCTTATGAGCGCATCGTAGCACCGTGTGTGTGGTGGTGGCAACAAATGGTGCAACGGGCCCAAAGAGTCGGGTATGCATGAGATTTATCCGTGTATTGGGCGAATAATGAATAATTCCTATTTATGTAACAAATGTTGTCACTTACTTGGTTGAGACGGGTGGACGTTGCGGTACCCAGTGTGGTAAACCGGGAATTCGCACTCCGAACAAAAACGTCACGCGAGTAATACGGAGTACGGAGTAAGTAACTAGTTGAAAGGCCAGTTCGGGAGACGCCTGGCCGTTCTCAATACACAAACAATATGAGTTGCAAGCTCGTTAGTCTCCGGGCAGCCGGACTCGAATCCCCGAATCTTACACACCAACAGACAGCGCTTTTCGGCCGGCCGGGGTGCCATGGACTCATGTTAGTTTTGTCTCTGGTGTCTGCCGCAACAACATGCAAAACATGGGCAGGCAGCCCGGGGCGCCAGGCGAGGAGGCGATATTGACCATTGCCATGACTGGCTGCTGTCAATTGTCTGAATGCAAGTGGTCTAGCATAGGGTCCGTGGTTCTGTTCATCGTTTCTTTTTAACCTTTGGCGAGGCCATTTCTCCGTCTCTTTGTTCCCAAACACGGTGCGCACCTCTTTGCCGTCTTGTTTGCGTCCAAGTCGAGCATGTCGAGAGCCTCAACTCGGACGGTTTACGGGGAGAGGGAGACCATCGTACGCTTTGACGAACCGCAGGCAAACAAACAAAAGAAGCCCTCGCACATAGTCATGTACGAGTGGTAGTACGGACGGCCCTGCCCGGTCTGTGCCTGCGCCTGGTGCCTTGGTGTGCGTCCTGTCTGGCTGCAACTGGCACAGTTCTGCCCACAGCCGCAATGGCAATGGACGGCTACCGTCACGCTCACTATCGACATGGACGAGCATCGCCCATCGACGAGGCCATGCTGGTTCAACCTTTGCTGACCCAGACCCGGCATCGACCTCGCAGCGCAGTCATCACTGCTGCTGCTGCCGCCACCATCAACTCCACGTCAGCACAGGATATCGCCATTTCCAATGTTTCACCGTTGTCACGGCGCCAGTCGCTCGTCTCTGTTTATTCGGGGACTTGAGCACAGCCCACCGCGAGCTGGAGGGCTATCTGAACCGCACCTCGTGTGATCTGGTTGATGCGGTTGATGTGGTGGGGGAGACGCGGCGACGGACAAGTCTCGTGCAAAACAAAGACGACTCCCAGTTCCATCTCGACTTCCATCTCGACTCCGTCCTCGTCCTCGACTCACAAAACGCCAACGACGCCGACGGCTATTCTTCCACAACACCAGTTTCCCCCGTGTCTCCCGTGTCTCCCGTGTCTCCCCTCGGCAGCAGCTACTATTATTCCACCTCCAAGTCATCATCGCCGCAGTCGCAAGTCAGCAGCTATGATGAGGACATGTTCGCAGCTATAGACGTCAATGCCGCAGCCGCCGTCATGGCCACCGAATTCAAAGCAACCAGGATCACGCCTGGAGTGCCCAACAAGCCGCCCTCGTCATCGTCACGGTCATCGCCGTCGCCATTGTCACAGCTACAGTCACAGTCACAGTCACAGTCATCACCAGCTTGCCCATCACCCGTCGCCGGCTCCAGCAACACCACCACCAGCTCCAGGCCGACGCCAAACAATAGCAACAATGGTGGCACCCAGCAGCAGCAACAACAACTTCTCGAAAACCTATTATTGTCCACCACCAGAGTGGGCAAGGTGTGCCTGGTGCGTCCCCGCGCGGGGCCGTTCGAGGGTCAGTACGTCGCCCTGATCACCACCACGGCCGTGCATGCCCCGAACAATGAACTCATCACCTTGATTCCTGAGGCTGAGCACGAAATTGCGCAGAGGCGAATCCACACCCTGAAAACAGCAGTCGCCGAATGGGGTTCTGATTCCCGCCGGCCCGATGTGTGGATTCTGCTGCAGTCAATGGCCGTGAATGGCGACGGTGAGCCCGATGCCAGGAAATTACAGACGTGGGTGCAGAATATTGGTGAAGAGGCTGAAGAGAGAATTATGGCTACGCAATTCATCAAGCACCGGAGGGGTGTACAGCAACATCGCAGGCAAGGGATCGAGTTTCCAGTCTCACAACCGCCACAACCACCGCCACGTCACCGTAACCACCATCATCGTCATCATCCTCATCCCATGCGCCCTGATTCTTTTGTGAGACCTCACCTAGAGATTGGCTACGATAACAATGGCCCCTCACAGCAACACCAACCTGAGAGTCCTACCCAGGACCCAGGACAGGAGGTCTACTTCCCCCTGGCTGTTATGCAGCAGCTCTTCTTTAGGTCATCAGTGAAGCGAAGTGTAGAGGCATCTGTCATCACTGGCCCGAAATACCGCTTCAGCCAAAGTATACTTTTGAATGTAAAGGGCGATGTGGCCTTGGCAGATATCGAAGCCGCCGTCAGCGTTTTAGTATCACGACACTCCATGCTAAGGGCTCGATTCAGACTGACCAGCCAGGGCTGGGCACAAGTCATCGCCCCCGAGTCGAACCGTGCTTACAGATTCGAGCACAGGTATATCAACGACGACGACGATTTACTGACTGTCATTGATCAGGCCCAGCAATCGTTAAATGTCTTCAAGGGTCCCGTCTTTACGGTCAAGCACATTAGAAATACCGAGAATAAGCAGCTACTGTATCTTGCCGCTCACCACCTAGTTGTCGACTCGGTCTCGTGGAAGATCTTGCTCCATGACCTGGATGAATTGCTTCGAGAGGGAACACTTGTCTCCGAGCCCTCGATACCATTTACATACTGGACAGACTATCAGAGCTACGAAAATAGCCAGCGGTTAATTGAACCGAACCTGCCGTTCGAAATTGTCCCCGCAAACCTGAGATACTGGGGCTTGGAGGGCCACTCCAACCTGTACGGAGACACTACGCACCTGAACTTTGCCTTGCCACGGGACTCGGCATCTGCTTTGAAGAAAACGTGCAACAATGTCTTCCGGACCGAGTCTGCAGACGTTTTCATCGCTGCATTGTTATATTCCTTCCATCAGACATTCCCTGACCGCTCCATTCCTACCGTCTGGAAGAAAGAGCATGGCCGAGATGCTCGAAATAGCGACTTCAATGTCGCAGAGACGGTTGGATGGTTCACCGCGCTCTGCCCAATTAGTGTGCCGGTCCATCCTGGCTCGGATTTGATCCATTTGATCAAGCTGCTCAAAGATTCTCGTAAAGCGGTTTCGGAAAATGGCACACCATACTTCCAATCAAAATTCGCCGCCGACGACACGGCTGCCACCTCCTTGCCAGTCGAAGTCATGTTCAACTGCATCGACACTCTTAACCAGCTACAGAGGGAAAATGGCATCTTGGAGCCCGTCGCTGCCCCTGACCGTGAAGTCCGCTCCTTGGCGTCTGACGTAGGGCCTGCAGTTGGCCGCATTGCCCTTTTCGAGGTTTCCGTGGGCCTTGATGATTACGGTGCCAGGGTAGAGTTCTCCTTCAATGTGAACTCGAGGCATCAGGATCGCATTACACAGTGGATGCATAATTTTGAGAGTTCCATCTTGCGCGCCGTCTCTCGCCTAGGGGTCATGCAGCCTGAACTGACGCTTTCAGATGTGCCTCTTTTGGAAACATCTTATGAGGCATTGTCAAAGCTCATGTCGAAGCAGCTTGTTGATGTTGGCATCAATGGAGTTGACAATATTGAGACAATCTGCCCCGTGGACCTCGTTCAGCAGGAGATTTTGGTCGCCCAAAGCATCGATCCCAACTGCTTCCACGTCAGTCGCACATATGAACTTGCCACCGTCGATGGGTCGGAAGTTTGCCGAGACACACTCTGCTCCGCCTGGCAAACACTTGCCGCTTCCCATAGCATCTTGAGGAGCATTTTCATCGACAGTGTGTCAGAGAAGGGACTCTTTGATCAAATGGTTCTGAAGAAGACCTCACCCGACATGCTATTCTTGGACTCGAACGACCCTATGGAGACTCTTTCATCGCTGCCCCCCATGAGGCCGTCAAAGTCTATGCCGAGACATAGACTCTCAGTGAGTCGGTCGGACAAAACTGCGTACCTAAGAATTGATTGCAGCCAGGCACTGTGCGATTTGACTGCCATCCACAACTTGGTTGTTCAGCTTCGAGAGTTGTATATGGGCAGAAAATTGGTCATTTCTAGTCCGTTACCTCCCCGACAAACCCGCCACATCGCTTCACGCGAGGCTCCTCGGAGCGTTGAAGTATGGAGGTCCTACCTCAATGGAGCCACACCATGCGCTTTTCCTCACCTTGCTATCCAAAAACAAGGACGTCTCGAGTCACGGGGCATTGGTCTCGACATTAGCCGGCATCAGCTATCCCAGTTCTGCGCCTATAACCAACTAGATCTGTCTACCGTCATTCAGTTAGCCTGGGCGTTTGTTCTGCGAACGTACGTCGGAGAAGACCGTGTCATTTTCGGATACTCGTATGCTGGTAGAGATGCACTTGTCGTGCCTGGTATGAAGCGTTATGTTGGCAGCCTGGCCACCTTTGTGCCCTGCTTGGTCGACTTTTCGCCCATGTCAAGTGTGCTTGACCTCTTGTGGCAGTTGGAAAGAATGGCCAAGGATTCTCGGGAGACGGAAGCTCCAACCTTGGCCGAGATTGAGCACTCGCTTGGCATCCAGGGCCAGAGCCTCTTCAACACATGTGTGACCTGTCAGGATGTTGATGACACCATCTTGAGCGATTCTGACTCGGACAGCGGCGTCTGGGAGCCCGTTCTACTTGCCAATACCATCGATGGCAACTGCGACGTCTCTCTTTGTGTGACACTCCGCGAGGACCGCATTCAAGCGGATGTGAGCTATTCTTGCTTGTCGCCGGCGCAACTCCACAACGTTATGAATACATTCCAACGTGCTCTGCAGGTCATCATCAACAATCCTGCACAGCTATGTTCACAAGTTGACTTATTCACAGAACATGACTTCCAGCAGATTATGAATCCTGACTGGGAAGAGGAGCAGACCGACACCAAGATCTCAGCATGCCTGCACCAGCTTATTCTCAAACAGTGCGAAGTTCGCCCCAATTTCCCGGCCATTTATGCTTGGGATGGCGAGCTTTCTTACCAGCAGGTCCGAGCTAGTGTCACTGCACTAGCCACATATCTTGTCAACATTGGTGTTCATCCCGGCGTTCTGGTTCCCATCGTCTTGGAGAAGAGCCGCTGGTCGCCGGTCATTATGCTTGCTGTGATGCAAGCAGGCGGCTGCTGTGTCTGCCTGGACGCTCAGGACATGGTCATGGTCGAAGCCATGATTAATCAGCTCGCGCCAGAACTTGTAGTTGTTACGGAGGGGTCATACAAGCACTTGGACCTTTCTAACACGCCTTTCGTTTTGGTCAACGAAACGTTCCTGTCGTCTCTTCCCCCACAGGTTAGTGTAAAGTTGAAAGACTCTCTCCCACAGCAAGCAGCTTGTGCCTTCCTAGCACCGGGCATTGAGAAGCCAAAGGGATGCTTCTTTACTCATGAATCGCTGTGCTCTATTCTCTCGGTTCAGGGACAAGCCCTGAAGATCCACAATGGCAGTAGAGTGCTTCAGCTCTCTGCTTATACCGTTGACATTGCGCTTGTCGAGATTCTAGGCACATTGCTCCACGGGGGGTGTGTCTGCATCCCCTCCCCGTTGGAGCGCGTAAATGACTTGGAGGGCACTATTGCTCGCATGGATATTACTTGGACTTATATGACAACGGTTTTGTCACGAAAGATCAACCCAGCCAATGTGACGAACTTGCAAACCATCTGCTTCCGCACAAGAACTCTTGATGAAGATGCGTTCAAGCCATGGCTTGGCAACAGGGACATTCTTCTTGCTTACGGCGCTCCGGATGTATGCCCACTCGCGATTTCAGTTTTCAACGTTGCGGAGTCTAGCGATACCAACATCATTGCTCCGCCTCTCCTCGGTCGGTTCCTGATCCTCAACCCTGAGGATCCCAAGAAGTTGATGCCTCTTGGTGCTGTTGGGGAACTAGCTATTGATAGCCCCATCGTGACACCTCACAAGTACGTTCATGGCAATCCCCTCATGGACCCGGCGGCTTTCCAGCAAATCCGTGGTGAACGAAAATGGCGCTACTTGAGAACGGGTCATCGCGTGCGATACCTCGACCGGGGGCATATTCGCTTCCTTGCGAGCATGCGAGATGAAGTCCTGGTCAATGGATCTCCGGCCTTGATTGCTGTCTTGGAACAACAAATTCGACAATGTCTCGGCGGCGATGTAGATGTTGCCGTGGAGCCCATCACAACCAGCAACAACGTCAACTCTCTTGCTGCGTTTCTGGAATTCGGCGACAGCGAGTTTGTTGGACCGTCTGAGCTCGACAAGTTGACAATGCAGATGAGATCCAAGCTCGCTGCTGTCAAATGGCTGGCAGAAACGTCCCTGGCCCAGGCTTCAAAGCTTAGCCACTCTACTTGCGTCCCAAAGCTCTTCATCCCCATCCGTAGATTCCCACTGTCCACCTCGCTCAAGATTAATAGACGCAAATTGCAGAAGATGGCCTCTCCATTTTCGTACACTGACTTGCTAGAATTGGCAAATGTCCCTTTTAGCAGCCAGCCTCACTTCACGGGGATTCAGAGCAAACCACTCCCACTTACACAAACTGAAGAATCAATGCGTCTCATCTGGGCGGCCGTGTTGCACGCCATGGTCGGGGATATTAAGACGACAGATAGCTTCCTGGATGCCGGCGGTGACAAACTCCTGGCTATGAAACTTGTTCTGTCCTGCCGCCAGAATGGTTTCGATGTTCAAATCAGCAAACTTCTCAGCGGAGCCACGCTCACGGAAATGTGTCAGTCCCTGGAAATCAAAGAGCATCATCTCATCAAGGCACCCAAGCCCAAGACCTCTCCTAAGCCCAGCGTCGCAGCCCGCAAGCTACCTGAAGGTACAGACCATGGCTTCGTCAAGCTCGTGGTTGCGCCGCAACTCGACATCCCCTGGAACGATGTCATCGATGTTGCTGAAGCATCTTCCCACCAGCTCCATTGCCTTGAGCCCAGTCTCTACGGACCCAGGAGTGACATTCGTTGCCTCGTTGTCAATTTCAATGGCTCTATTCGCGCGCAACGCGTCGAGGAAGCATGTGAGGCCCTCACTCGCCTGCACCCTTCTCTTCGAACTGCCTTCGCCGTGCACGACTGCAACCTGTTCCAAGTTGCCATTGACTCGTTCCACGCAGACTTTGAGCGAAAGTCTGTGTCAGCGTCTTCTGTAGACAAGGAGATGCAGCAGGTCTTGAAGCGCATGCAGAAGGAGGTGCTCCAGTTGAGAGAGCCGGCTACCAAGTTTGCCTTCTTGGATGCTGGACAACATGGCGGCAAGTTGATCATCCGATTCAGCTATGCTCAAGTCAGTGAGTCTGCTGTGCCGCGATTGGTCCAGGATTTCGTCAAGTTGTACGAACACCCCACGATGGAGCGCCGCCGGACCTCCTTCTTCGACTACACTCGTGCTCTGAGAGGTGCGCGATACGATGACAGCAGGGTATACTGGAGACAAAGACTTGAAAAAGCCAAGGTCACTCAGGTTGTTCCCCGTTCAAAGCCTCTTCCTCCAGTTTCCGAAGTCAAATCCTTCCAGGAGCAAGTCAAGATTTCATCGCTCACCGACTTCAATATCACATTCGACAGTGTCCTCAAGGCCGCTTGGGCCATGGTCATGGCCACGCTGTCCGGTAGCCCGGACGTTGTCTTTGGTGAAATCGTCGAAGGACGTCGCCTCAAGCTGGAGACCAGTGTGGATGTGTCGTCCATTGCAGGTCCCATGGAGAACATTGTGCCCATTCGGGTGCGGTTCCCAATTGTCAATAGTTCGCCCTTGCAGGTTCTCCAGCTCATCCAGCGAGACAGCGCCGCTTCTCTTCCCTATGAAGCCATGGGCGCGCAGAAAATTGCACAAGAATGCACAGATTGGGCCAGCTGGTCGCGATTCAGCACCGTCGTGCGACACAGAACGCAGGTTCCCGTCGATGGAACCACCACGTTGAACATTGACAACACGACGTTTACTTATAACCTCCTTCAGCCACAGGTTCGAGATGTTCCCGATCTCTTTGCCAGTTCTACCATGATGTCACCAGACAAGGTCTCGCTCAGCATCGAGTACTCCCCAGACCGGGTCCCCGAGCATTTCGCACAAGCAGCCATGAGGCTCCTCGTCGCATCCGTCGAAACTCTCGCCTGCTATGACACCATCAGTCAGCCCATTCTCCAGCCATCAAGCGACTACGAATCTCTCCCGCCGCGTGTCCTCCTCGAAAAACCCGAGCCAGACGTCACACAGCCCTCATACACGCATTGGCTCTCCGCCGAGCAACGCAGTACTCTCCAGCAATTCCTGATATCCAGCTGGAACGAGCTCCTCCACCCGCATCTCGCGACGCAGGGCATCTCCGAAACTGACCTTCTGCATTCCCGCTTCTACGACATCTCGGGCTCCCTCCTCCCCGCATACCTCTTTGCTCAACGCCTCAACCACGACCTTCGCAAGGTCGAAATCGAAGGCATCCACACCGTACACATGACGGCCGTCGAAGTCATCACCACGCCCACCATCAGCGGCCAAATGGACCTCATCACGCGCAAGATGCACCAGGCCGGCGTCCTCTGCAAGCCCGGCCGCAAGAAGCCAGTCGTCAGCTTCCATGCCGGCTTCACCCCGACCAAGACTTCATCCTACAACTGGGCGCTTCTCAACAAAGGAAAAGGTCGCTTCCGTCGCCTCCGCCACGGCGGCAGCCACGGATCCATGAAGGACTTTTCCACAAAGGCAGGCGACTGGGTAAAGTCGCGAGTAAATCTCAGCAAAGAGCGCAGCCCCATCCTCCCAGAAGGCGTCATTCACGAACCAAGCAGCTGGGAGGCCCTCAACAGCGATGCCGTCGGCATCAAGGACGGCGGCGGGGGCGGCGGCATGCTGTCTGTGCCCGAGGAAGCCGTGGAAATCGGCTCGAGTTCTGTCGTCGACCAGCGACATCAGACCGGCGGCGAGGTGAGCCCCCTGAGTGGCGGGTCGCCCAGGACGAGCTGGAAGGAGGACTCGAGAAATGCGAGTGGTTCTATATCTCCATGATATTGGATGAGTCATTGAGCGCTCTTTCTTTTTTTAAGAAAAATAACATGCTTTTCTTCTTTGCGTAATACTGGGTGGTGTAGCTTATCATTGCATTGTACGGAGATTTTTAAGCCTGGCGTTTGGTTAAGGGCATAATAGGTCATTTGTTTTTGTTTTTTCTTTCGTTTGTACATGATGTAGAAGAATGATGAAATACATGCAGGTACACTACGTCTTGTCGAGTCCTCTATATCATGTCAGTCAGCTGGGACCCCGATCCCCGACTATATGTCTTCCTGCAATCCTCCATCACGGTCCCATTTCGTATCTATGCAGAACTTTCTCGTCGTTTTTTGATTTCAATTTTAGTATTAATCACGTTCCAATCAGTACGGTCCCTAGGGGGTTGCACTACAGGGTGTGGAACAGTTTTTAGCCTTTTTTTTTTTTCTTTTTTCTTCCCGCGGACATTAGCCTAGCCCAGGGTCTTGGAATTGCTCATACCCAGGCAGTCGGGAGTCGGGACGGACGAGCACGATAGACAACGCCTCAAGCCTAGTGCTATTCCACCCGCCCATCCGACGACCTAGCCGTGACGAGGGGAGCGTCATCCCCTCCTGGCATCCTAGCCCGAGTGACTACAAACGTGACTGCGCGTTCCATTACTCCCAAGGAAAGCCAGGTCGTTGCCAAATCTGCCAGCCGAGGTTTTCTGGGGTCCTGGCACACCCGGTTCAGATACCATGTTGCCTCGGCCGAGAATGCAGACGCAGTCACTTTCCCAGCGTTCAAAATGCAGATAGACGGGCTCGAGCTTTACCGAGTCTTGCCGAGGGGGAAAACGCCGTAGTCGTCACGACTCCCACGATGCCAAAGCCGTATGCTGTGCTGGTTTCGACTTTGCACCCGTCTATTTCAGACTGTACCGGGTGATGTCTATTCCAGATGAGAAAAATCGACGGCAAGCGGCGGCAACAGCAGAGAATGGCTTTAATCGGTGAACATTGCCCAGTGAGTCATTCGTGCCTTGTTCGCACGCCAGCTGACGAGGACAAGGCAGCATTCGTGGCTGGGCTGATGCTCTCGCAATGGACTGCTTCTATGTGCCCACGCAAATTGAGGCCCGTTGTTGTTTTGAGCAGATGTAAGCGAATGCCAGTAGCACTCCTGTCCTTGCCGGACAATGACAACCGTGCTCGACAGAGGCGACAAGGCCAACATGGACAGCAGGTTGGACGTTTCCTTGGGTCAAGCATGTTCACTTTGGACAATCCAGAGCCCGAGAGAACATTGTATTGAGGTCAACATAGTTTTACAATCCATCATGCTTCATCTAAACTATCCTTTTACTCCATGCAGCTCCCTGGCCTCATAAAAATCAAATCGAGCTAGATTAGTAAACTGGGGTATAACTTTGTTCTTTAAGCAACTCCTTCTCTTCCGACTGGCCAAATCATCTTGCAATGCCGATGATGCGAAAAGACCCCAGTTTAGCAAACAAATTCGTCAAGAGGTAAACTCCTAAATCATAGGAAAAAAAAATATCCCAAGGTACTCCAACTCCGAGACATGATCGCTTTACTGTATATATCGCGCTGGCTTGCAGCTAAAAAAAAAACAGACGGGGCTCCGGGGAAAAAAAGCTCCGTTCTTTCATTACGAGCGCACTTTTATTTACGCCCTACTCGCTCTAGTTGAACTGTCCCGGACCGGGTCCGAACCATTCGCCAGGGCCAAGGGTCTTGAGCGCGCAGGCACTGCCTTCACAACCCATTTCGGAGACGTTGTTGCCCCACCAGTTGAAGTCGGTTTCGGTGTACTGTAAGCTGAAGAAGATGATGATGCCAGAGATGGCGATGCCACATGACCATGCTGCTGAGAGGACAAAGTTGTACTGTCATCAGGATTTAGTTTCTGCTGCACCACCCGACGGAATTGTCAAACGTTAGGATTAGTACGTACCTTTGACCATAGACCAAGGAACCTGGTCTTTAGATAGATCCATGAAAAGTAAGCAATGGGAACGGACGGCCAGACATATGACATGTTATATGGCGCCCAGACGATGCCTCCGTAGAGAATGACGACAGGGTGAAGTTGTCGAGCCCACGTCCACTTGGGAAACTTCTTGTTCAGGGCCCAGATCAAAACGACAATGACAACGCCAAGTGGAAAGCCAATCAGGGTCTGGCTGTACTGGCCGCGGTGACCAAAGATCTTCTGGGGGCCGACGGTACCCCACAAGACCGACGCGGTAAAGAAGGTGTTGACGCCGGGACAGGTGAGTTTATACTGAGCCTCTGGCGTGCAGACATTGTTGATGCTGTTCATTTGAAAGTTCAACACGCCAATGCAGACAATGGTGCTGAGAAAGGTGGCAACCATCTGCGCAACAAAGGTCTGACGAGGCGGAATCTTGACATAGTGCGCAAGCTTCAAGTCGTTGCAGAACCAAATGGCATGCGCGCAAGTGACGTACCCAAACGACTTGAAGTAGTTCATGGCAAGAGCATTGCCATCCACCCACGAACCACCGACAAACTCGGCCAAGACGTTGAGCGTGACTTCAATACCCGTCATGGCCTTGATGATACCAACAGGAATCACAAAGATTACGCAGAGAGCCAGGCCCCAAAATACCACGCCCGGGGAGGTGTGGGTATCCCATCCGACGATGCCTGAAATTCCAAACGCTATAGCAATGGCAAGGCAAAGCATGTACCACCACTCGGGAACTTCAGGATAGGCGCGCATCAGTCTATTGTGCACATCCAAAACACGTTCATCCTTGACGGGCTTCTTCTTCAGCCGCAAGCTGTAAAACAGGGCCTTGAATCCCATGGCAATTTCGTGACGATGATACAATGCCGCATAGGTAAGCGTCGACGTGTAGATGGCAAAAAAGAACATGTAGATGACCACATTGCCAGCACCAAGGTATGGAGGCGAGTACGACTCGTATTTCTCCGCGTTGAACAGTCCATGATCGTCGGTTGCCTTTGTTATGTTGTAAAGCTGAGCGAAGCGATCGAAGACTCTGTTGGTGTTGATGGGGAGATAGCCCGTATTGTAGACGTTTTTGTACCAGAAGATCAAAACTACCCAAAAGGAAGCAAAGACGCCAATAAAACGGTTGAGCGTACTAAAGAAAGGAACCATGAGCGGATCAGCAGAATCCCACAAAAGCACGTTCCAATCCCATGTAGGGAAGGGGTTTAGGCCCAAGCCGTTGTTGATGCCGGTGACGATGTTTAGGTCTCGGTGGCCAGGGGCAATCCAGCTGATCCAGTTGAACTTGGACAAGCTGACCCAAATATAATTGGGGAACCAAAACCACACGAACATGGCGGCGAACATGAGGTAGAAGAATTTAATGCGCGAGATTCTCCAGATGGAACGAAATGGGCCGCCGACAGGAGGATTCATGTCAGTGTGGAACGCCGAGTTGAGGGCAATAGTTACGAGGGAGGCCGGCCAGACGCAGTACGACGGATAGACGAGGAATCGGCGGCAGATGCCAGCAATGCCGTAACCAATAAAATTGGTGGCGAGGGCAATCAGCAGCTGGTATGCAAAGTGCGATGCATACGGTTGATCAAAGTACTGTGGGAGATACTGAACCCAGATGATGTAGTTTGTATACGGCGTGTTGTAAGCCACGTTGGCCATGATGGTGATGAGCATGTGCTCCTTCTTGGAAAAAGGACCCGGGTTGAGGGTGTGCCTGACGCCAAACAAAGTAAAGCCCTTGTCAGGGAGCCAACGTTCGGCAGCTTTGCCAATGGGGTAGGCAAGCAGCTGGGCCACGTTGGCCATGACACGAATGGCCGGCTGACGAATATCGAAGAGCTGGTTGATGAAGGCAAGCAGGACGGAAAAGATCAAGCCTATGGCCCAACTTCGGATAGTAGAGCATGGCGTTTTGGGGTCATCCTTGTTGCTGACAACAGCACGCACCTCGGAGTAGGGACTGTTGCTGGTGACAAGGGCAGCCTCGAGCTTCATCTCTTGGATAAGATGCTGATGTTGATCTGGGTTTTCAAAGATGGCGTCATTGTCGAGAAACGTCTTGACCTTCTCGATGACTGTTGTGGGGAAATTGGGGTCCTTTTCGTGGATTCGGCGCACTCGAATCATAATATCGCGGACCTCTTCGAGCGTATATTGCGAGGCAAGCTCTTTGGCCTCGAGAAGGTCATCCTCGGTAACATTGAGATCGTGCTCGATGGCGGTAGGAGTTCGCGGCTGATCGCCTTGGCGGGCAAAGCTGTCGTCTTCATCGTAGGAGAACGGTTCCTGTGAGGTGGCGTGCATTGCCCCAGTCAGCGATTTATATCCAAGGAAGTGGTGGCAGGGTTCGCAGCCCGGTCTTGTCCAATGTCTCTGCGTGCTGCCTGCCGTGGCCAGGGCAAGGCTGGCAAAGTGATATTGGCATTTTCGCATCCTTGCTGGACGAATGCGAAACGACACTGCTCAAAAGTGAAAAGCTAGGCCGGGAGAGGAAGAGAAAGTGCGGCAGAGCCACCACAGAATTCCGGATGGTTGTCGAGGTGATTATCGACAGGCTCGTCGACAGACTGCGAAAAGACGGCAAGACGACAAGATGGACAGGCAAACGGCGGGAGTTGGGCAATCTTACCGAATTCGGTTCGGACTTCTCGGTAGGCGAGGCGGACGGACGGCGTGCTGCGTCTTCGGTGGCCTCTGTCGCTTCTGCTACTGCTGCTCGTTTCTCATCCTCAGCCATGGCGACGAATGAGCGGCGTGACTGCGAGTGCAGACGGAGGGGTTCGCAGAGGGAAAGCCCTCGCTGGGCTGGAGGATTGTCGCAATGGTGTCAGTCAATACGTGGTTGACCAAAGGCTTGATTCTGGAGAGACGACGGTGTGCGGACGGCGAGCGTAGTGACTCGGGCTACGTGATGTCGTCGGACGCGCTGTGCGATGGGATGGGATGCGAACGAGAGGGCAGACGGCGTTGATGGAAGACGAGGTTTGAATTGAATGCAAAGGGAACGA